ATTAAATTTACCGAGAAATACATTTATTTTCTATCAAAAATCTTGGATTGAAATTCGACTAAATCACTCACTCTGCTTCTTTTAGTGCACGCGTATTTTATCTACATTTAAGAAAGATATACCATTTTCAACTATTTTAGAGATTTTAACACTGATCGTATGTAATTTTGAAATTCTCACACAATAATTTATTTTCAAATCACTGAAATAATATTCAGTTCCACAGAAAATTTATTTAATATTAATTTAAAAATCTTACTTTGAATGGGATAATAATTCAGTAATTTATAATTCATTGGTCTCGAACAAATGAATAATTCGATAAATGAATTGGAATTTAAATTTTCACCAGCATGAAAATTTTTAAAAATTTTCAATAGGCCATCTTGCCCTGGTTTTTTCTAGCTCGAATATAAATAATAATTAATAATGATGAAAATAGTTAAAACCACTTCGATGAAAAAAAAACAGGACATGAAAGAGCAGTGAGATAGTAAATAAAAAATTTTTCAAGTAAATGAAGGAAAAAATATTTATATATGAAATATGAAATAAATCATAATAAAAATGAAAAAGAGCTTGATGAAGTGAAGCGTCAAAAACGTATGACAGAATTGGGTAAGAAGTAATCAATGAAAAAAAACATGACAGTCGAATCCATTGAAGAAAACTTATGGGAAAAATCGAGGTCGGGTTTTATTCATTATGATTCCAGAAGCTAAAGTTTTTTATCAGCCAATTATGTTCACTGTGGAAAAAAGCATGGTAACAAGAGAAAAACGGCGGTTGCCATACAAAAAAAAGGTATAGAAAAATGAGAAAGAGATAATAACAAAAAGGAAAGACATTGGAGGGACTGTCGAAGAGACAAGAATGGTGGGTTGCACCTAGTTCTTCTCTTGCCTTCGCAAAGCATCTGGCCTAGGTAGTAGACGAAACAGCTGTGGTCGAAAAAGGTGGAGAACGCTGAGAGCGAGTGTTAGTTGTATCGTGCCAAAGTGAGACGAAGAACGACAAGCAGTAGGTAGACTGACGAGAAAAGAGCCAGAGGAAACAAGTAAGAGAAGCAATACAAACACTTTGGGTGCAGAAGGGTATAGGTGCTCGAAAAAGCAAAAGAGACGGCGAGAGCTGTGTTATAGAAAGGGAACGATAAAGGCATGGAAAAGGATCTGGCAACGTTGTTGGATCGATAAAAGAGTGGGACCTGCCTGAATGTGGCAACGTTGGGTGATGTCTGCTTTAAACCAGTGATACTCATTCACTGCCTCGTCTGAAATATTCTTTAATCTTATTTATATATATGATATGTGCACTTGATAATATGAACAACATCTTCTATCCTCAAAATGAAAATTCTCATATTGTCATAAAATTTGTGATTTTGCGAATTATTTTATACCTCTGACTATCATCATCCTCGTTATCATAAGCAACTTAGGTCACAATAACTAATGCAATGTTTTAATTATTGTTTAAATTAATTAATGTTTCAGAGTTAATTAACCATTTTAAATTACGTACAAAAGCAGATTATGATAATTATTCATCAATTATTTAATTGATCAACGTGATAATATATATAAGACAAATGATACTGCCAACCATTTGTTCAGACTCAGAAAGTGCTTTTTTTGTATGCAAAAAATCGATGTAAATAAAAAAAAATTTTTCATGTCAGAATTAATTTATTCAAATACTATCCAGGAAAACAAAAAAAAAGATCCGGGAGAATTAATTTTTCTCCATAATATATTCATTGAAAAAGACAGATGTATTAATATCGATTACACTGCAATGTTCGTGATTAGAACAAGGAGAGGGAAAAAAGGCGAAGGCAATATAATTATAACGATTAATTGATTATCACTGATAATGTTTGTTGAATTGGATGAAATTCATTAGCATTTACACTTAATATAAATCATAATGTAGTGAATAGTGCGGAGAGGTGTGATGAGAAGTTGAAAGGAGATATAGAAACCTACGCAAAGTTATTCATGGAAGGGTGATTTCAAGATCGGAATTATATTGAGATTCTAGCAACGCTTCGCGAGCCCACTCTCCCAAAGGCTCTTCTCTAGATCCTTCAGGACCCACCAGAGAGGTTCCATCGAGATTCCTTCATTAAATCTGAGCCAATAGCAAGCGAATTCACGAACCGACGAAGACACTTGAGAAAGAAAAAGGAAAGATATATCTCGTGGATCCAAGACTCTCAATTTCGTTCCTTTCCTTATTCTTGGCTATCACTTTTTTTTTCTCCTAGTTTTTATTTTTTAGTCTTTTTTTCGGGTTTCTTTTCATTCTTCGTTATCGTTATTTATAATTTACGTACGTAAATAGGAAGCTCGCTTTTTTGTTCCAGCAAGACTGTATATTTTTTACCAAACATAATATGCAGTATTTGTAAATATTTGTTTACTGTGTACAATATTTATTCGTAATGTCAACATGACAATAATCCGAGTCAGTGTTCAACAAAACACAATGTGTATTATAACCAATTAGAATATATACGACCGAGAAAACACTGGGCTACAATCCAAATAACGTAATATAATATGTGATTACATGTAATAAATGAATAGTCGTATGAATATTTAATTACGATAAATAATAATATTACATTATATAAAATTATGATAAACAAAATTCCAATTTGCTGAAAATCAATAAATTTAATCATATAATACACAATACGATATCTCCAACAATTTCATTTTGTAATTTGAATCAGATTCAATCTAAATGATCTTTTTTTTTTTTTTTAATTTCAAAACACAATGATCACTTTAAATTTTGTTTGAATTTTAGCCATCAACTATAAATAAATATTTTATTATTTTAATTAGTGCACTAACTACATCGAATATTGTGATATCGGATCAGCTTAATTGTTTTCATACTTTCAGACTAATTTTCAAAGTAATAGTGAGATTCTAATGTAAAATTAATTTTTTTCTAGTGTGTAAACAGCGATATGTTGAATAAAATTTTAGCAAAAAAGAAGAAAAATTTTATGAAAATATTTTTAAAAAGCTTTCTACTGCCATTTTCGGCGGAATATTTTAAAAATATTTTTATTTTAATAAATTTACACAAACGAATAAAAATTATTTTTAAAATATTCTAGTGTCTCGGAAGGTAACACCTGTTTAGATAAAAAGGAATTTCAAAATGATACTTTTCCAACAATTTGCAATGAATATGCAAACATGTAATTCCGTTCTTCTCATCTTCGTACATCATCATGTAATAAAGATCTATCGATCTTTTGAAGGTCAGTCAGAGAAAGAAAGGTTTGATGTTAAGATTAAATAAAAAAGAGAGGACCAAGGGATGCTAGATGAGGTGGTATATAATCCTGATTTCATGTGAAAGGAATTAAAAAAAAAAGGAAAACGTCCATGAAAGAATCGTCAGGGACAGAAGAAACGGAAAGAGCGGCCAATGATGGAGAGAGAGGAACTTGGCTGCGAAGAACTTACTAGAACCTTCACCCAGCTGCCCAGCCGATCAGAACCGACCTTCGTAGCTTCTCTTATCCTTCGATCGCTGTTTCTTCTCTCACTTTTCGTGATCCTCTTGAACAGCTCTTATACTGTCGTTTGGTTAAATAAAACATGATACATATGTATATAGACATACATATACATGTATAAAACATTTTCTTTCAAATGTATTTTTCTTATTATATCCTTAATCTCTACTTCACTTTTGCTAGTATAGGAAAGCTAATGTTCAACTACGGAAGGCATCGTTTTATTTGTAAGATCTGCGACGAATCGTATTCGCTGTGTGCGTGACTTGGTCTCGTGTCAATATTCGAATCAAATCCCATCGTAATTCAAGGTCGATTACACCTTTCGTGTGAGTCTTTCAACATTATGTTTTCATTTTTAATCAAAAAAATGTCAATTAGGTAAAATTGAAATTAATAAAAAAGTGAACAACCTACATTAATAAATTGGAGCAATGTTGTTTTTCAAATAATCACTACATTTTCTTAAAATAAATTGTTTACGTTACTTGCATACCTTTAAGGTTGATCAAATATTGCGAATGTGGAGTTTATCTACTTCGGATATGTCAAATTCCCTGTATATCTCTCGAGTCACTAAATTGTTGAAATCGACTGGAAAACATTTTTCTTTTTATGCAAGAAACTAGGACAAGATGGCGTCGGGAAAATTTTAAAAATTTAAAAGAAAATTAATGGCAAATTTTCATCATTCATTTCATAATTTATTTGATTAATTTGATGCATGAGAATTTTCGGAATTTTTAGAGGAAGAATGGTCTTGTCTAGCATTACTCTTTCCACTGATCCTACTAACTCAATGGAAAAAATTTACTCAACGAAAATGATATTTTTACCAGAATTAGGTAATATTTGACTTATGAAATGTTATTCGATTAAATGGTCTTGAATCGAGCGAATTTTAGAGTTAAAAATATCGAATCCAAAGAGCAATTTAAATAAAATTGTTCAAATTTATTTTTAATAGTTTGATTGTTTATTTTAAAATAACTGTTCAAGCTTAAATGTAATCAAATACATGTTTGAGGTAATTTTTTTTAATGAAAACAAATTAATCTGTTGGAATTAATATTACAAATTGTTTATGTATAACTGACGATTATTTACTAAAAAAAAATCTATCGTTATTGCAGATTGTTTTTTCTTCAATTATTGATTGGAATCGTTTTAAATGAACAATTATTCGATGATAATGATCCAAAATATATTAATATTTACTAAATAATGAACAACCATAACTGTTGATTAGAGTTAAACAAAATAAACTCTGGTATCTCGTGACTTGATCTTATTAAAAATGAGAACCATACTTTCAAGTTATGTTAGAGAATTTTGATGATCTTTCACAAAGTATATTTATCCTCATAATATCCTAAATTTAAGTTGGTTAATGGCCTGAATGTAAGCCACCCTGTTTGCAGACTAAGTGTTAAATTAAACAATAATTTCCTCTCACCTCGTTTCCATCCCACGTTGAGCTTGTGGTTGTCCCTCGAGATGATGTGTAAAAAATGAACGCGAACGAAGGTGATATCGGTTATCAAAATGATCAGTTGCGTTAAAAGAGTTCCAATGGTAACGTGTAAAAGGTGGTTGATGCTGGTTATGATTTTGCTGTAGTTGATAAGATAAAAATTGCTGTTGGATGTGCTGCTGCTGTTGGTGTTGATGATACACAGCCAATTGGACCCGATGAATTGGTCCAGGAGGATTCCACCATACAACATAAGGCAGTGGCAATGAGGTGACGTTACCAGACTTTAACTGGACCGTCGATATTAGATTATGAGCGGCAGCACGGATTTGATAGTTAAATGGAAACTCAAGAGGATGATAACTATGAATGACCGGTCGAGCCTCTTCTGTGAAGAGGTTGCAGTCACGCCAAAAGTGGCTACAAGGTAACATGTCACGGCGACATTGCTGTCAGCCAATTCAGTTCTTGCTTTAACTTGCGTTCGTTTCTCCTAATTATCTTTATTATTTTATATTACAATATTTAATGATATTTTACAATAATTATTTATTTAAGTTTGTTTAAGAATAGTAATTATTTTAACTAATATAAAATATTTTTTATCTCAATTTGTTTTTTCTAATTTATCATAAATTTAATAAGTTTTAATGCAGTAGTGAAGGACACTGAACGTTTTGAAATTTTTTTAAAAATAATCCCCACTTATAAACTCGTTTGATGAGAGAAAAGTTTATATGTTATCTTATGAATTTATAATGATAAACTTGTGATTATAAAGAACGTAAACCATAACATCTCACACCACTTTTAAATTAATAATAATAATATTAAATGTACGAAAGACACAGTTATATACATTAATTGTTTGGCGCGTAGTGATGAAATACAGGTTCCAATAGTTTTATTGTCAAGTTTTTCATTAAAATACAATGTTTCTTTGCAAATTTATTCACAAAAGAAATTTACGGTTATTTTTTCAGTTTGAAAATAACTTGAGCTTTATTAATGTTATATTAGTAAACTCTTGGAAATTTTAATACTCGAAATAAATAAACTACTGAGCAGTAAAAGAAGCACACTAAATGACAAGGCGCGGTCTCAGTTTCACAGTATAGTCGTATTCCTTTGCGAAAGCTCGAGGATGCCGACGCCTCTCTCAAACTACACCGGCTTATGTCGACTTCCACCCCCGAGAGTGCGACGCGAACGAACGAACGATGAGCATACCCCAACAATTCGACGCGCCACAAATTTTAAACGTTGCGCCGACGCAGTAAGACTTATCAGGGATGACATTTATTATTTCAAGTTCCCCGTCGTTTTAAAATTATCCTTTTTTCGCGATATCATAATACATTTAATTATTTTTTTCATCCTTCCCACAAGTATTTAGTTAACTTTTTTTCCTATTCATTTATGTCATAAATTGCAGTTCTCAACCATATTAAAATAAAAATTAACACGATAAATCAATGTTACAGCAAGGTTTTGTCACATGTAATTTAATCAACTCCATGATCTGTCTGTATCAACTAAAGTAATGCCAGAACAAATCCGTCATTGACATAACACATGTGTAAAATGTGGCAGTAACTCAGCTCGTTGGCAATTCAATTGATGCACAAATTTTCACACTGAAGGATATTATTAAAATAACACTGCATACATAATAGAACGCTCGATGATGCTGTGGTAGTTTTGGTTTCGCACAATCACCGAACGAGAGATATTCACTTGTGGAGTATAAATTAAATATTCCAAGTTTTGATATGATAACAGCGTAACATATTAAAATTAAATCATTCCATCATATCATTGGATGTTTTTTTTTTAAATTTGCTTTAATTTTTCAGTTGAAAAACTACACTTTTCTTTTCGGGAAAAAGACCAACTGTCAACGGTTACATTTTTTATAAATAAGAATAAAAAAATAAACGAAAATTATAAATAACAACTCACTGACATCCACCTGTTTTTCAACAGTACAAGTGAATGGTGGATGTATCAAAAAAATAAGAAATATGTATACAATTCCTAAAGAACATCTAGACCAATAGCAACCTTGGTCTTAGAGATCTGGTCATTGATAACTGGCGTCAAGTTGATTAAAGTTAACAGGCCAAATAATATATACACTTACACTCAAGTATGTATTCATGTTAGTCCAAATATACGTAGATGTATTTCGATGTACACAGTTATATTGATGATTATGATGATAGAATATACATGAAAAGTACATGTTTTTACAACAATTACACCATCTCTTTAATCATTATTATAAAGGGTTGGTGTGTGAGGAATTTAATTTACAAGCCATTCCTCTACACGACATTCGAGAGTCGACCCCTCGTTATCCCAGTCTCTTCTGAGTTAGAGAGCTACTTCGAGTTGAGTAGGGGAGTGAGCATTTGTCAGGAAGCTTGACGCGGATGTAAATGACAGTCTTGAATTTGCCACTGAAAAACACATACTTCTATACATATATATATATATATATATATATATATAAATGTGTATATACATTAATTAACCACGGTATTACGTCGACTTTATATATTTAAAAAATAAGGTAAATTTTATGATTTAATAAAAAGTTTCATTCAAAGAGTCTGATTGGCTACATTTCATAGAAAAAGTATCGAATGAGTAATGAAAATGTTGAAGTAGGAATTTAACGTCATAATTGAAGTTTAATTGCTTATTTAATTATCAATAGTAATTATATATTTGAGTTAGAAAAAAAAGTAGCAGAAGTAAAAATGAATTCGTTTGAAATTAGTTATTACGAACAAGTAAATTTGATTATTCATTCTCTTGCAAAAATAAATATCGTAATTAGAATGTAAAACAGGGTTGTAAAACAAAATCAGTCGCCCCTGAACTATCGCGCGTCCCCCCTTTTTGAGGGCGTTAGGGCGTCAGAATATTTTCTCGTCAACTGATTGGTAGAAAAGCTTCGCATGCGCGACTCTCGACCTACCCCTATTGATCCACGCGGCTTTTTCACCCCCTGAGGACACTTGCACGCAAGATCCCCAAAGATATGAGACCTTTCCATCGAGTCTTCATTGCCGTTGCTGCTCTCGACGTCGACGTCGACGCCATTACTGCCATGGTAGCTGTGAGTGAAGTCTTTACCTAACACTATATAGTATGTGTTTTATAGTTAAATTTTATATGCTATACTTTGCGATATTACCCATCAAGAGTAACCCCGAAAAACCACGTCTAAGAAATGTTGCATTCATGGACTTTTCACTTTTAAAGACTATGTTACTTTAGAAGGATCAAATAGAAATATCTCATTCTTCGTAAATCAATCAGTTATTTATATTTATTTTAATTTTGATCACGTTATTTTCAACACATCATAAATTGTTTTTCTTTCAATCTATCTTGATAAACAAAATACTTTTGAAATAAAAAAAACTTTGATTTCGTCTGAATTATCTGTTATTATTGATTTGTATAAAAATTGCAGTTTATTTTTTAAATTTTTTGATAGAAACGAATCTTTTTTAGAGCAAGAAAAATTATTTTATTTCTTTAACTTTACCGTTTTTTTATTTTCAGTTTATAAATTCAAAAATCCCGTGATTGTAAACCTTTGAAACCACACAAATTACTTCCTAATTCAAAAAAAGTTTTTTTCCCACAACATGACGTGATAAATTTCTTAAACCTTACACATTTTACTCATTGAAAGATAAATTAGTCTTCGAAACATATTTTTTTTTCTAAAAATAATTCAGAAAAGAGTGATAAATTGGTTTCAAATTGGATAGTTTATAAAAATAATAAATTGAATGATCGAAGTTAAATAACTCTTAAAAAAAATTTATGCAAGCTCATCACTTTTTACAGTATTGCTTATAAAATAACGAAAAATGAAAACATCTACTTGAAAAATCTTGTTGAGAATTTAATTAGCTATAAAGTTTCAAATTATTACAAACTCATTTTTGAGGGGCTCAACTAATATCCATTGCATCATCAGTTCGTGAGAAATCGTAGTGGAAATTTTTTTTTTCATGTATGTACACACATTTGTTATATACTTATAGAACCTTTTTAAAACTATCTAAAAATATTCTAAAGACCTTGAAACATGAAGATTTCATGAAAACTCTGGTTTCCATTTCATGAATAATTACACCTTCTCACCATTTATAAATCGTAAATTTAAATCATTTACAGAAGTTTAAACGTTTTTGTTCTTCAATCTTAAAGTGACAATAAATTTATCTCTATTTACTTCTTAGGATTGAACTTAATTACGAAATTACATTTTAATAATGAAGAAAATTGTAATTACTCTTTTATATTTTTCAAGTTTTTAATTACAAATTCTTTTGGTGAAAACTGAAGAAGAAACGAGAAAAATTGAAAAAAGTTAGCGTTTGTGAAAGGGGAAGATGTAAAAAATGGTCGATGGAGCTAATTTCATGTAATGAAGTAAGAATAAAATGGGTCCCAGTTGGGGGTAGAAAGAACCACAAGTTTGTCGAAAGATTTCCTATCTTTTGAATAGAGGATAAAACTTTTTACGAGATTTCTTATCAAAATGCAAATCCAACGAGTGATATTGCCATCCATACTATTCTTTAGGCACCAATTTTGTCGCTTTACCTCTTGTTTTTTCTTTCTTACATAATATATAGATAAATATGTTTATCAAGGAAAGTATAATTGTTGAGGAAAACAAAAAAAAGACATATACCACGTTATTCGCTTTCAATTATGCTCAGGTATTTATTTGAAATAAATAAATGCACCAATAATAATGGAACATGATTTGAGATATATTTTGCAAATGAAGAAGTATTTAAATATTCAAATGATCAACGATGTAATAATAATGAATATTCAGTAAAATTCTCTGTGATAACACGGAATATGAAACTGAATTTTTTTTTCAATTACCTTTGCGTGGCAAAGACGCCCATGTATTTTTTTTTTCTCTTTACAAATATTTATTAATAAATATTGAATAATGCACAAAATAAACTAGAACATTGTAATGCTTTTTTTAGAAAAGTAAATAAATTACCAAAAAAGTGTTTTATTGAAAATACAAGTTATTGTGTTGATTGCCCTACTTTTGATATTTTTATGATACATAAAACAAACGATAACAATTAAATTTAATCGTGTTAAAAATTAGCATCTATCAATTCACTCTATTTTACTGATTTTACTTTGTTCATTACTAGACAATCTATCTATTTAGATCTACTTTGTTTAGTATTATTCAATTCTTGCTATTGTGTTCAAATTATCATTGAAAAATAAAAAACGAGTTAGACAAAATGAATTTTATTCATTATTCAAAACTAACAATATCTTTTTTCCCTACATTGAATAATTTTTAACGATCGATTGGATTAAAAAAAAAGAATTTTTAACGTGTAGCTTAACAAAGTTTTTTACAAAACAAATACTTTCATCAATGTGTTTCG